AAGTCACTATCATCTCTTTTGCTTTCATCAATGACTGATTCACAATACTGAAAATTACTAAATTTTTGCGACACCTTATTTTCGAGAGATAGTCATTGATTCTTAGTAAGCGAAACATTTTTGTCATGAATTGTGTTATTGCTCTATAAAATCAAATTATAATACAGGAATAACATTTTCGCAAATTCACTGTCTCGCGTATCTCTCATACGCAAAAATAAAGTTCTCGTTAAATTTTCCCTATTTTTTTTTATCATATCAGATTTCAGTGATAATGCTGAAGATTTTAATGATCCTTTTGAAAGATTTCTACGGCGTAAGAAGGATGAAGAAGAAAAAGTTATCCAAGGTATTCATCTTCACAGCAGCCGTGGTACAAAGCTGATCAGTATGACAGACTTTGCCGGACAAGTGGCTTATTACGCATGTCACCAGGTTTACCTGTCAAGGAGAGCGTTTTATATCGTGGTTATTGATATGTCCAAGGGTTTAGATGAAGAAGTTAGAATTTACCACACTGATCGACATAACCCAGAAGGATCATTATTCCATACCTGGAAATACAAAGGTGAGCACCACTTAAAAAAAAACAATAATCTCTTGTTTTAATATGATACACCACTGTATGTTTTTTTTTTCATTTTTTTACACATCATAAAATTCACAGCATAACATTGAATCGATATAGATCGTTTTAATAATAATTATCTTACGGCACCAAGGCTTAACTCAATGATATGTTTAGAGAAACGGAATTTATTTGTTAAATTACAAGTCAACATATCTTTTTTAGTCAAGTTGATAATAGGTTACTGAAAATAACTATTTTAGTTTAAGAAGATAAAGGCAAAATAATGTACAACTTAATGGAATCTTTTCATCACGTATATTTTTAAGGTGGAATGTCACACCAAATTTTTATTTCATTGATGTTTGAGTCATCCTTTTTAAACAATAGTTTCAGCATTGAAAGGCCGTGATTCGCTCTTAATTATTTTATATTGATTTTTTGGTATTTTTTCAAAGAATATGAAAAAAAAATTTATATCAAAATAATTTGCTTTCGAGTTAAAAGTTTGCTGTAAATGAATGCATCATATGATTATCTTATAAAATATGTAAAGAAAGGCTGGTTTGACTTTTTCATTTTTTTTTTAGAAACAAATTATTTATGAAAATTAAACACATTTTTAAAAACTATTTTTTAAACCTATGGTTAAAAGCACAATATATCTAGTCACAACTAAGGACAACGTGTTTTTTAATCATATTTTAAAAATAAATTGAAACGAAACTGAGAAAACTTAGAGAAATTATTTTTTTGATATTTGGACCTAACCCGATCAAAATTAAACTGATCCCGATCAAAATTAACACAATATGAATAAATGCTAATTTATTGTCTCTTCATGTATTTACAATGAAGAAATTTATTTTATTGTCAGTTTCAATAATGTTTAAACCCTTATAACACCCAACCAGACTAGTGTTCTTGGGGACATGTTATTTATTTTCTATAATTTACAATTACGGTTGGGATCGGTTTAATTTTGAATGGTATTGGCCAAAATTTAAAAAAAAAAAAATATTTCTCTAAAATTCGGCTTTTTTGTTTCAATTTCTTTTTTAAATATGGTTAATGAACATGCTCTCCCAAGTTATGACTGGTTTTAAGAAGATTTTATCCACAAGTTTAAAAAATATTCACAAATTATGTGTTGATTTTCATGAATATATTTTATTTTTAAAAAAAATATTATCTATATGGCTTTTCTTTCTATATTTTATTAGGTATCCATGTAATGCATTAATTTACAGCAAAAACTTTACAAGAAAGCATCTCATTTGGATGTAAATAATTTTTTGAATTTTCATTGAAAAAAAATACAAAAATATTCATATAAAATAATTGAAAGCTAATGACGGCCTTTCAATGCTGAAACTATTGTTGAAAAAGATTAACTCAGAGATCTTTAAAATAAAAAGTTGGTGTGGCATTCCTCCTTGATCGTTCAACCAGACAGAGATAAAAAGCATGTCTCTATTTCATCAATAAAAATATTAGATTTCGGTGCAACCAAAGAACATTTAAAATAAGTCTCAGGTTGACTGCAAGGTTGAGCCATGCCAATTTTATGCCCCCGTAAACGTAGTTTCCGGGGGTATATAGTTTTTTGTCATGTCCGTCCGTCTGTCTATTTGTCTATCTCTCTGCCTGTCTGTCTGTCAAGAACCTTGACCCTTTAACTTCGACGTTGGAGTTTGACCTACTTTAAAGATACAAAATTGACCATAATTTTTGAAGGGTTAGGACTAGGGCATTTATACCTAAAAAATTTAATCCTTGTGACAAGACCTTTTATTTGATATCAAAACCTTGACCTCGACATTGGAGCTTCACCTCCTATGTACAAACTTTAAGCTTGACCATACCTTTTGGACATTAAGGACTAGAGCTATCATATTCCGCATGTGTAATCCTTATTGCAAGACCTTTCATTGGATATCAATGATCTTGACCCTTTGACCTTGACCTTAGAGTTTGATCTACTTTTTACAAACTTTAATCTTGGCCATAACTTTTGAACGGTAAGGGCATAATTCCCATACGTAATCTTTGAGACAAGGCCTTTCTTTAAATACCGACAACTTTAACCCTTTGACCTTCACCCGGAGACTTTCCTATCTTTTAAAATGTTAACTTTGGTCATAACCCTTGAACAGGTGTAGCTAGAGTTTTATACGAGGGCCGTTCAAAAATTACGCGGACTTTGCTATTATTTACTCTTACAGACGTCATATAGTTATAAAATTTCACAGAAATATGTATCTTAAAGATTCCAATAAATTTTGGGCAAAATTTCTGTATTTTAAAAAAAATTCTACTAAAATTATTGGTATGTTGATATCGTTGATGGAGAGGTTCGGCGCACGACAAAAAATTGAAGCAAAAGCATGCGGATTCAAAAATTTAACTCATTGATTTTCTAAGGTTCGCGATATTTTTCAACAATTTTCTCAAATATACCTTCAAATTGTTCTATTATTATGTATTTAGATTTCGGACGTAATATTTGAAGTACTAACAGAAATATAGTGATTTTTCTCTGATGCAATTCCCGTGAAAACGACTGTAAAAATGACGTCTCCTGAATTGACGGCGCACCACGTTTTGTTAAAATATGTGTAATGCTCGAGATATCGACAACATAGATCCAAAATATGCATAAAACAACATGTAGTAAACTAGGCTACTCGTGACATTCGCCCACAAATAGCAATTTGAAATTTTAGACAGTAAGACCTCTGTAAAAAGGCTATACGGGAGGATGGGAAGAAGATTATCGACGAAAAGTTAACTTTATCCGGACTGTAAAGAACGTGATTGAGAGTCAACAATATTACACTATATCTCACCAGTAGTTTTTGGTTTTAAAACAAGAAAAAATATTCTTAACTTGTTAAATAGATTTTAAGCTTGACAAGAAATGGTGTTTTGATGTTGAGTAGATAAGATAACTCAAACTATACAGGTTCTAAAGGGAAAATGTTGAGAAAATGAAAGCTCGATCACATATTTCTATAATGCTTGTGACGTCAAAGATTTTGCTGCGCCGTGACTTAATGGTATGTTCTGAAAAATTAATACCAATTTACAACATTCGATATGAAATTTTGAAGACCATATAAGTTAAGATTCTTTTATATTATTTGTGAAATTTTACCCGATTATGTCATCAAATATTTCTTCTGTGCAACAAGTTATCTTGTGAAAAGGCCTTACTTTTGGTACCAACATATTACAGATCTAGCTGCATTTGAGAAAGCTTAACCTTCGCTATGTTGTCATACGGGGGCATCAGTGTTTCACAACACATCTTGTTTTTTATATGTTTAGAATTCGGGGACAACTTAGTTTTGAGGTTAAAAAAAATTATAAACAAAACACAAATTAAAATCGATAAATATTAATCTTTAAAATACAATTAAAACTTGTAGTAGCTGCATCATTATTTTAAGATGTGTATTAGATAGTTTTTGTTTCAATATTCAATAAAGAATAAATTTACGTGTAGAAATTAAAACGCAATAAAAATTCTTAAATGAAGATTGAAAATTCTTTCGTTTTGCTTAAAATGTTGTCTTTCCCCCTTTTATTTGTGTGGGGTGTTTTTAAGTAGAAAGATAATTTGTCGACTTTGGCCTTCTACATTTTTAAGTCTCACTTTAATATGAAATCGACCTTTAAATGTATAAATGTACGTAAACGATCATTATATAACGAGATCAAGTTGGCTTTAAGGTTGGTATTTTTCGACCCCATCAATACATTCTTAGCTCATGCAAACGATTACATTTGAAATCCATGAGAATGATGCAATAGAAAAATAAAGTGAACTACAGATTACTAGCAATTAGCTTTCGATCAGGGATAAACTTATCTGACTTAGCTGACTTATGCACATGGAGTAGTCTGTTCACAGTGATTTCAAGGAAATTATACCCATCTTATAGATTAAATTCATATATGGAAAATCAGTAGAGGTATAATAAAGCTAAATAAAACATGAAAAAAAATGGCAAGATGTTAGTATTCCTTTGATCATTGGTAAATCTATTTTTCAATAACTGTTATGATCAGATTAGTGTCATGATAAGCTGAACACTCAATTTGAGCATATATTATACGTTCGTAGTCTTTGATGTTGGGGGTTCGTTTAATGCTTGAATTTATATGTTACTGATCTTTTCAGACTATTTTCACTTCTGGTTGCAATCTATACAGACATACTGTGATGTTGGAGAAACACGCACAATCCAGGAAAACGCAGACTCAAGATCGAACGTTCATCCTGTTATTATTGTTGCTTCTCATGCAGATGAAGTGGTAAGAAAACAATACATACCATACAAAGTTATCAACACGAAAACGGTTTTGCTTATGCCTAATTAATAGTTGTTTCATGATCTTGCATCTTTATATTCAAGAATTTGCCCGTTTACACAAATAGCAAAACACATGGTGGGTATGACGGTTAAACGGGAAAGCCCTCTCCTTGCAGGCACTTACCGTCGCATTCTGTTTAAGAGGTATATCTTTGCTCTGCGCACAATTTGCAATCTTTTATCGGACTTTGAGGACTTAATTGTAGCATATAGAAGGGACAAAAACTTATCTATATCCATTTAATATCTTACACAAAATAAATATATATTCTATTTGTATATTTTGAATTTATAATCATCCTTATAAGACATCAGCAAATCAAGTAGGATTTCAAAAGGATCCCTAGGGTATCATATTGTTCAATAAGCAAGGGTATTTTTGAACTTCCTGGGAAACATACAGTAAATGTTGTATATTTGCAATTGGCGTGTACGATATAATTAGGAAATTCATTTTTCAGCAAGTAAACATAGATTTGATCTAGAGCTATTTGAACGTAGAAGATGTATAGGTATTATATACAAGACATTTGGGTTCTATTTTCAAACTTTAACCTGTGCCATTACTTTTGAACAAAGAAAGATAGAGACTTTATATTTGGCATGCATTCTTCACTAATGAAGCCCTTGCACATGACACCAAAGTCAGTTACCTTGTGACCTTGAATATGTCTTATATGCTAAAAATAGCTTTTTTGAACCTTCTCCATAACGTTTGAACCATGAAAGATAGAGACTTCATATTTAGTATGCATACTTCACTAATCAAGATCTT